CAGAACTTAGTATACATTAAAAGATGTAGTAAAGCGTTCTGTACAAAATGGCGAAAACCGCATCACTCGATCACCTTTCGTTCTCAATATATTCAGAAAACATTCACGGTCCCTCAATTGTGAAATAATAATAGTCAGTTCTCACTCATTTTCGTAATTTTATGGAAGTTTTTATTTAAAATCGGCAATATTAATTAAGTCGGCTCTGGTTGCCAAATTTAACATTAAAATCACCAAGGACGAAACTTTCATTTCAAAATTGTTGCGATCGTGGATTTCATAAAGAAATGTGTTGTAAAAGGATGATGGGAGGGAACAGCCCGTCCGTCATTTTTTTCATGCAGCAACAAAAGAGTTTCTAGCGCAGGACTCTATTTATTAGTCACGTGATGTAAGTCACTCAATGAGGAAATGAATATGACTCATCGTGGTATTATATATTTTAGATCTACACTACGTAATGCTTCAATTCAAACAAATGTAGAATATGTTCAATTTTATAATTTATCGATTCATCAAGGTGTTGCTCTGCTATCATCTTTTGTCAATCCTACTCTTTACCTCCATCAGTCTCATTTCACATCTAAAACTTATTCATGGGAAACAACAACAATGTTTCGAAATGGTATTGAATATAGAAATGTCTCCGTATCTACTGGTGATGATTATCCAAAATGGTGGATTCAATATTTGAGTAGTTCCAGTATATTGTCAGATAGATCGATTAATGTTCAAGAACAAGAACAAATAGCAACATGGCCTAGCACGCGAATGCAAGAGCAAGGTGTTCAAACTGAACGTAAACACTCTCATCAACAATCCTCTCTAACAGAGAAGAATTCATACTATGATTTTGATGAAAATAATCGCACTCGCATACAAACGACCAGTGGATATTCATCACAAAATGAACATGCACAATCAAAAACAAATTCACGCCTATCCGACTGTTATTGTAGTGATTTAACGGTAACTCTGAATAATAATAATAAACGAGCTGATAGATCATCATCTAGCGAGTATTTATCAAATAAAGAAGATGATCGAAATAGAAATAATATTTCGTCTCAAAACCATACACCATCGCGAGGAGGAGATCAGCTTGGTTATAGACAATTTAAATTATCATTAAATACTCTTCCGGCAAGGAACTATCATTCATCAACTAATCATTCAGGTATTAGTTCACATTTATCATCATCACACCGTTTACGTTCATCCTGTCGATTGTGTAATGCAAGAAATCGAACAAGTTCAGAAGTATCAACAACGTTAGACAATAGATATCATCGACCAGTGACAACCACATGGGATCCAATATCAACAACCATATTCGTTGATGATGAAATACCAAGACGACAAACACGCACTCACATAGAAAGTGATGCTTCGTACATTCCAATGTCATCTGAAACAGACCGAATTTTAGAAATAGATCGAATTATAGCAAAATATCAACGGCAAGCATCATTGTATGGAATAAGTCATCGATCAAAAACGGTATGTATAAATAGAATATCAGAGCGAAAACACTGTAAACTTCTCTCACTCCCTCTCTCAATTTGGTTTAAAAAAATCCATCTTAGTATCAAAAATGTTCATGAAAGGTTCTAAAACTTTTAATTTTTATCCAACATTTAGTCTTATTTTCATATTATGATCTTTTTATTTCGGCAGAGCATTTTGTTCAATTATAAAATACATTTGTTGAATTCAAACAGTATTTGTTATTTCTGTCTGTTCATAAGATTTTTTTCTCTAAATATTAGTTTAGTCTGCATGATATATATATGTTGAAAATGAAAATATAACTACACTTGAAATCAATGTGAGACATTACGATTATTTTTACACATTGTATAACATAAGCCATCTAAGTATGCTTAAGTTAGATAAAATTTCAACATCCTTGAAGATCTGTTTTTGAAATATTTCTCTGCAAACTTTTTTTTTCTATAATATTGAATTTTTTCTACTTCTTCTTCTTTAAGGCAATGGAGCTGTACAGAGATGATAATTATTCGGTTCAATCGTCAAGACGCAATTCAACAAACATTATACCAATGTCTCGAAGTACAAAAGCAAAATATAGTCTTATTAAACCATCTAGTGATGATATGATAAATACGTATACAGGTGAACGCTGTAGTGCATGTATGGCTCGATTATTAGCACCAAGAATGAATCCATTAATTACACGATCATCAATATCAGACTCATCCTTAATTAAGCCCGATTATATTGAATTAGACTATACTGATCATTGGAGTCCATGGATTCGATACAATGAACAACGTATAAATGATTTACAAAAAAGAATTGAACTATTACTCCAAACTGATGATGATCAAGATTTATTAGCAGTAACAGCTCCATCTCTGCTAGAGGCATCAACAAAAACAGTCACACAACATATTGATGATATTTTATTGCGAAACAAATATGATGAACACTATCGACGGCTTTCCTCCTACGTAAAACATCGTCCACTCACTTATCATTCATCCTCAGATAGTAGCATTACACATGCAAATGGTATGTAAAATAACTTTTTTAGTAAAACTTTATCTGTCAGATTCTTTTAGTCGGTATACCTACTTTTAGATATGCTAAATTATTCATCATATTATCGTTATATACCACGTTTGCTCCGACCAAGACGAATAACAAATTATGGTGCTTTACTAGGACGTTCGTATCGTTTATTGCCACCATCTTCAAGATTATCCACACATAAAAGATCCGTACGAGTTAGTCCCACAGCTTATCTAAGATCTCTACCTGTTTCTTCACGATTTGCTGATTATTTACATCATCGTTTGAGAACACCATTGCGATCAATTTTACATCATCAAACACCAGCTCATTATTCTCGATCAACATTACGTTCAGTATCACCACGTATGAAGGCTGCTCATATCTGGCAAAATCCACAGGATGGTACAACATATATTCTTCAACAATGGGATATGCCGCCTTATTCTCGTCTCTATGGGGATGCTGGTTTTCGTCGAATGTATAAAATTTCGTCAGCGAAAGATCCCTTTTTAGCTGAAACCGATGTCAATTTAAATACAGCAAAAAATTATTTATCTGATGAACCACCGATCGGATCATCTTAAACTCATCGAGTTAAGATAGAAACATTCCCACATATATTTTTACTTTGTCTTTTTTTAGCTAGTTCATTTTTTTTAGTTTATATACACATTTCTAATATTGGCTAACAGTGATCTCCTTAGGATCTGTATAAAACATATAGTTTATCCCTATCTATTTTATCCTTGTGAAAAAATGGCGTTTCGTTTTTCTTGTTTCACATTTTAGAAATATTTTAGCTCATTACTGTGATGACCTACCCATGATTAAATAGGATTTTAAGACAAAACGTATGAGTTACCAGTTTGAGCATGTTAGGTAAAACACCTTGTTTAAACATGTCAATTTGATAAATGAATGATAGTGGTACGAGAACACATTTTACTTTCAATCCTTTTATCATAGACTTAACATTTTTATCATCTCTGATAAGAATCTTACCAAATTCTTAAACAAGATTACGCCTGAAAATTTGAGAGAATTTCTTATAAAAATCTGATAAAAGATTGGTAAGAATTCTGTAAGAAAGTGAAATTTCACAAGAGTCATTTATATTCCCAAGTGAAATTCACCTTACAAGATTAGGTAAAATTTGTCGTTTTCATATGCATTCTTGTGACAAGATCTCACTGCATGATCTTACAAGAACTTGTCTCAAGATCGTATAAGACCATGCGGAATCTTGTAATTTCTTGTCATAAGATCTCGGAAGATCAACTCATAAGGCAATAACAAGAGCGTATCAGATCTTATGACAATAAATCGTATTATCTTGCAATATCTTGTAAAATCTTCTCGACGCGAGTGTTGACTTATATTTAGCTCTTATCACAAGATCGTATGACTTCTTGACACAAGATCTTATATAATCCTGCAAAAGTGGATGACTCATTGTTACCACATAAATTTTGTTGAGATATCTAACGGGTGCGGTATCATTAATGATCCTTTACGTATTTTTGACATCAATTTTTTCTATTACATTATTCAATCGTAAACTTTTTTCAAAAGATGTGCCATTAAATTCACTACCAAAAACGTACTGTGCATTTTGTTTTCCTATTTTAATAATAGAGGACTATGGGCTTGTCCACTTAACGCTACACTTCGCTGATTAAGTTTTTCAAATATGTTTTTCGTCGGAGAACTGATATGAGGCCACCATTAGATGCAATTTCTCGCGCTGATTACGAATGTGGGCTTTTTAAAAATAAAAATAAAAATTTGAATGAAAAAACTTTAATTTTAAAATTTTTAAAAGCTTTCATTTTAAATTGCTCAGCTAGCAAGTTTCTTGAAAAAACTGAAAAATATACCATTCGATAAAAAATTAAATTCTCTTCAAAATGACATATTCTTTTCGAAGTTCTAACATCAAGAACGGATTTTAGAAGGTTTTTAAGTTTTAAAGTGTAGAGTCAAACTTAAAAGTTTAATATAAGGTTTTCGACTTTATTTTAAAATGGGTTGATAACCCATGCCTAGGACTCAGTTGGATATAAAAATCAAGTTCTTTTTATGACGTTACGTGTCTCAAAACTGTGTCACAGCGTTACTTTACAAAACCGATTTTTCTAGGCGTGTGGAAGGGTTTGGAAAAAAGCTTATTTTACCAAAAGAAAGCCCGTTAGCTCCTCTACAAACTTGCCTCTCGAAACTTTTCAGATGCACGACTCGATTCGCTAGAAATCAGAGTTGTAAAATAGGGACCTTTTCTGTCATAGTGTTACTCGCCCAAAAATCTTTCTGGGAGCTCGAGTCTTGAACCGAAAATCTTCATTTTTATACTGTAAGTAGAGTTTGATGAACTGCGCCGAATGACGCCAGAACGAACTTTCTAGCTCCTACAATTTTCGAGAAAAATGCAAATTACTGTGTCAAAAATGTCACAGCGTCACCTTGGACGAAGCTTCAATTTCGATCACTTTCTAACTTCTTCAACAAATATATTATCGCCAGATTATCGTTCATATTGATACTCCGTCATAGCTCAGTTGGTTATACGGCAAAGGATGACGTCTATCTTAAGCCTGAATTTTGAATAGAACGCTATTTATTCAATTACCTATGTAGATTTCAAATGTCGGACTAACGTAAATCAATTAGACTAAAGTCTAGTAATTTCAACATTGCAAAGAAACTATTTCACATAAGAATTTCACAAAAAACCGATAAAAATCACATAAACGTTCTTATCACTTTTTAATAGAATTCTAACAGAGTCTCATTAATACAATTATCAAATTCTCTCAGCTTTCAGATATAATCCTCTTTTACAAATTTGATAAGATTTAAATTTTTGCTAAGATTTTTGTTTGAGACTTCTTAGATAAGAATTGATCACTCGGATCAAGAAATTCACTTTAGATGAAGTAATATCATTCTATGATCCAAATAGTGACAAAGTATATATTATTGCACTCAACATTTGCATTAATCAATAGTTAGTTTGAAATTTTAGATAAAATTAATCAGCTATAATATCTATAAGACGTGTGTTTTATTACAATATATCAAACATTTTACATTTAGATATCATAGCATTTTTTTCTCTTCAAACAAGATATTAGTTAAATATTTAGCGTTGATGAAAAAAATTCAAATTTCCTTTAGAATACTCGAGAGCAAAAGAAATATATATATATCTATTAAAGGTTTTTGAGTCATGCAATTTGAAAGGAAATGACAACATTAAATTATAGAATTTGATGTCATATCAAAGTAAAAATTATATGATTTATCAAGGATAGTTTGATTAAACAGAAGAATTTTTTTTTTTCTAGTTCAAAGTTCATCCGGATACAATTACAACATACGAAGAGAGCAACATAATATCCGTTTATTTTTAAAATGAATATATGCTTCTAGTAGAGTTCAATTATTTTTCTTTTTTTTTTTTAGTTATTTAATTTGAATATAGATATTTTTCTATATCATTAGATTAAAAATGTTGCGGTGTATTTAGTACATAAATTTCAAAGAAAAAAAATATATCTTTTATATACATGATATAGACAACGATTGAGTATGCACACGATTATAGATGATTGTTTTTTTTTTTTTGTTTTGTTTTGATCTTAAATTGATTAATAATACGTTTGGATGTAGGTGTTAATTGCTTGCATATTCACCTCCTTCTATTATGTCATTAACTTAAGCTGGTGTTCGTTTTTTCTTTTTTTTTCATTTTTCTTCATGGAACATTAATATAAAAATAATACTCAAGGATATCCAAGAGGACATATGGTCAGATTTTGATTATTAAAAAATTTCTCTGCCTCTCTCTCTCTCTCTTTTTTTGTGTGTATTTCTATGTACGGTACGGTGGTACTATTCTCTAAATGACCAATTTTTTTTCTCTTTTTCAGTTCTTATTTCTCTCTATATAAATATATATATATCTATCCATCTATCTATCCTAGCAGCATTGCGCAAGAAGAAGAAGAAGAAAAAAAACAACAAAAAAAAAAAAGTGGCCCATTGTATGTATGTATTACTTTTTAAAACATTTATTTTAATCTAAATTTATGAGAGACAATTCTTTTCTTCTTATTCATTGCAATATACAGTACTCAAAATACATTGTTTGACCGTTGTTGTACATATAGCTTATGATGATTATACGATCGTCAAAATGTTTTATTTTACATACTATTAATAATTATTATTATTCTAATCGTTCAATGATGTTCCTATTTTCAATTGTTATACCACTACTAATGTTAAAAATACATTGTGTATATACACAATCTTATTCTAATATTCAAGGTAAGAAAATGATTTTAATTAATAATTAAAAATATCATTGAATATTTTAGAAGATTTTTTTTACTATGAAATACATAATGAAATAGTATAAAAATAGAATAAAAAGAGAAAATTTATACTTTTTATTATATAAAAATATAAAAATATTTCAATCAAATTTATAACGACTTATAGACTAAGTTTCACATTTGTCACTTGTTGATTAAAGATTATAAGTCGACTATGTCTTTAGGATATTTATAAACTAAAATTATTTCTAAAAAGAGATAATACAGTATTCTCTTCAAGTTATCAAATAAAAACAAAAATTTCTTAGATCAATTGTAAGATGTCGAGAATAGGTTCTTGAAAAGGAAGTGAGTACGAGCAAAATAAAATATTGTTAAATTTATTAATACTTTATGTCTTTAAAGCGAGCACATATTCCACTACTAATCTTTTTTATCTATAATCAGATAATCTCTTATCATCTACCCAATGATAGCAGAACACACAAAAAAAAAAAGAAGATAATAATTCTTCTTGTCTAGTATTTGGCAAGTGTACTATATAACTTTCTAGCTAATTTATTTTGACATTAGTAATTAATTTTCTTTTTCACTAATCCGAAATATGTTAAGAGTATCGAGTATTCATGCTAGTTTATGTTCATTAACTATTGAGACTAAAGATTATTTAAATTGATTAGAGTATCTCTACAAAAAGTGTTATTCGACCAATTTTATTTTGTTTTGTTAGATTTGTTGCATGACCATATCTCGAATTTCAATTTAAACAATCTTTACAATTAGATTGTTCAATCTTTCTTCTTTTTTTTATTTTATTTTATTTTATTTCGTTCAATATATCAAAACATAATCATATCCTAGTATCATATAACATTTCTTCTTCTTCTTTTATTTTATTTTTACCAGATCTTTGCTGTTTAATGGTCAAAATTAGCGCAGTGCTTGCTTACGTTTTTCTTTTCTAATCATACTTGTTCAATTTGCCGACACGTTCAATATTCACACATACACACGTCAGGTTTTGATTTTCTTATTTGAACAACTTGGTAAAGTTACATACACTCAAGATTTTACAACATTTTTTTGTATGTCTTCACAAGTAAAAATAGTACTACACAGCACTATATTACCATATAGAAGAAATAAAATGAAGAAGAAAAAAAAACATTGGTATATTTATTTATACACTTGATAATCAGTCAAATGTCTCTGTGTATGATTACTATAGAATCAACTTTATAGACTAAGATTATATACTTGTTTGGAGTTCGTTAAAGTTAATTTAAATTAGTATTCAAATATCTTATAATAGCTTCTTGTATAAGTTATCTTATATTGTGTTCTAGTTCTTGGTCAAGATGATGATCCCAATTGTGCTAAATGTGATATTCGTGCGGTATGTGTTCGTATTGGAAATATAACCGGTGTCAGTTGTGTTTGTATGCCCGGTTTTGCTCCAACAGCAAATGGAAAATGTATTCTTGAAGGTAAATAAAAAGAAAAGAAAAATGATTCTATAATTCTTAATGGAAAAAGACGTTCGTTCTGATTTTCCGGTGTTTTTTTTTTTTCTAATATAAAAAAAAAGAAAAAAACTATTTTACACCCTTTTTTTTTCTTTTACTGTTACGTAACTTATGTAATCGGAACAAGAAAAATACTTTAACTTGAACAGTCATTAGAGATATTCGATTGATCATGTTAGAAAGAAATCAAATGTGACTTATTCAAGGTTATTTTAGTTAAACTCTATTTTTTGTTTTAGAAATACCAAGTAATGGAAAGTGTGACAATAGATACGAATGTTTTAACGGAGGTATGATTAATGCTTTAATTTAAATGTACTATTTAAGATTAATTCTTCAGTAAAATTAATGTCAAGAAGCATTGATTATGGACACAGTACATTCATGAGGGTTTGTAAAAGTGGCGGAAATAGTTTTAAAAAAAACAATATTTCGTTTTAGATCCATTTTTTGAAAATATTCTTCGCAGAATCAGGGTTTCCGATTATTTTTAGGGATAGGAGGGATTAAACATTTTGATTCACAGAAAGTGGCTAGCGAAAAAACGTTTTCGACATTTTTTGACAGAAAGTTGCTGATCGGGAACTCTGCGCAGGACGGCAGATGACGTGTAGAACCACTTAGCTGAAAAAATTAGTTAAGGTGTAGACTGTCATCTGAATCTGCCCGAATAGTCCCGAATGGAGCTATCAAGACAATTTTAGTTATGAGTAACTAATAAGATAGTATAGCAGAGATGTAACCGTTTTAGAAATTTTATACTGGAAGCAAACGCATGCTCTGCTGATCATTCGGCTCTCTTTTTCATGGCCGTTCTGAATTCTTTTGTTAATAAAAATTTTTCAAAATATTTTTCATCTTGTTTTATTTTTTATTTTTTGTTTGTATAATACCAAACATTGGGGTATTCAAGCGCATCGATAACCAGAGCTGACACCTTTTTATAATCTGCTGAAATATTCGATAAATCTTTGGATAGTCGACATGTTGATTCTGTTCTGAACATGTTTTTGCTGATGAGAGACTAATTTTGTTCAAAGTATTTTAAAATGGCATGGATGGAAAAACTTTCATTTGAAAAAGCGTTCTATCAGCTATTTTAAAAGTGTTATCGGAACGGAAGGATTTGTTCGTTCACTATCATCGGTTACAACTGTGTAGTGTAGTATACGTTTGTTTATTGTTTCCAAGGTCATTGTTCAAATGAAAGTCAGTGTTTATGTCCAAATGGTTATGGCGGTATTTTCTGTGAATTAGATATTAATGAATGTGTACAAAGTGGTACTGGGGATAATATTTGTGGAAATCATCAATGCACAAATTTACTGGGTGATTATCGTTGTCAATGTGATTTTTTTCATTCGGGAAAAAGATGTGACATAAGTAAGTTAAAGAAAGAAAGAGAGAATTCATCTGTTTCATTCAATATATCCTGTTCAACATTTATCAATAACAAAAATGTTTAAATATGTCAAGTATCTATATGCGTTATCTAATGAGTAGTGTATCTTGTTTATTTTTCTAGTTAGTGGTATTGGTTTATTTGTTGTTATTCTATCATCGGTGATTGTTACATTAATTCTTTTATTTTTGATATTATTCTCTGTTCGAACATTTTTACAGTATCGACTAGCTCGAATAGCAAGGTAAATGTTACTGTTGTTTTCCATTTTCAATTAATGTATAATGATATGATGTTTATTCTTATAGAAAACAAGATCCACAATCAAATCCACATTTAGTAACGTTAACAACTGGTTTTGATGATTCAGCATATGTAAGACCGATACATCGAATTTATGTACCAATGGCAACAAGTTTTCAATCGATATCCGATGATAAACAAATAAAATCTGATGAAACA